GCTTCCGGGTTTACAGCTGCGAGCCTTTCAACGAGACCTTCCGTCGGGACATCCGGGGCGGCGGGTTCAGGATCGTCGAGATGCTGTTCCGCAGCAACATCCTGGCCCTCGTTGGCAGCGAATCCAACTCCCAGTACCCGCCCAGCAGGTCCGGGCCGTGAGGTTGAACCGGGATCGGATTGTCGTGGTGTCGAGCACAAGGTCTATGTCTACGATTTCGCGGATCTGAAGCTGCTTCATCAGATCGAGACGTTGGCGAACCCTAGAGGGCTCTGCTGCCTGTCTCATCACCCCAACACGTGTTGGCTTTGCCCGGGCTGTACCGTGGGCAGGTTCGAATTGAGCATTTTGGGTTGAATCTGGTGAAGTTGGTTAATGCTCATGATAATCATATTGCTTGCCTCGCATTTACCATGGATGGCCTGCTTCCTGCTACTGCTAGCATCAAGGTAACCTTGATCAGATTCAACCAAGGGCAGTTTGAAGGAGGCGGATGGATTTGTCTTCGATTAGGGTTTTAGTCAAAGGTGGGTAGATTAATTGATGGGTCGGGTCAGTTCTGTTTTAGTTAGCGGGTCTGGTCTGGTTTGGGTAGAGGTTTGGTTAGGTTTAGCTGACATGGCGGGTTTAAATGATGTGGCGGGTCGGGTCAGTCAATTTTGGGGTTAAAAAGTGGTGATTAGGCAAATCCGTCAGCCACGTCATCACTTAACGGCCGCCGTTGACAGCTAACGGAGAGTGACCATAAATGAACGGTTTTTGTAAAGTTAGTGACCACAAATGGATTTAGATATTTTGAGTGACCAAACATGGACGCTTTTTGTAATTTCAGTGACCAACGATGCAATTAACCCAATTAAATAATTTGTTAAGTATTTTTATATAGGTATTAATAATTAATTAAGATTAACATTTAGATATTTTTTTAATTCATGAAAAAAATTATATGCAAATATGACGTAATCAATGACGAAAACACCATTATTGGTTCAGATAGTCATAGATTCATCATATGCTTGACAGATTGAGTTGTGTGATCAATTGTTCGTTTAGCTTTAATCATAATGAATTACGACATCAACTGTTCATTCAGCTTTAATCATAATGAATTGTGACATCAACTGTTCAATCAGCTTTAGTATGGCATCAACCGTTCTTTCAACTTTGAACATTGGTACATAATGAATCATTTCTCAATTCTATAAATGAACTCTCAAACTTGGTCTTCGAACTCATCCATATCATTCAACCTTTCTTTCTTGAAAAAATCATTGATCCTTCATTCTTTTCTCTAGCCACCCAAATCTATTTCGCCTTCATGGATTCCCATGATAAGGAAACTAATGAAAATGAAAGAAAAACTTATGAGAGACAAAGAGAAGGTGATGATAGGCAATAAGAATACGAGCTAGTGTCAACTTGAGCGTGAACACATGGAAATACAGGTGGCAATTAGTGATTCAATCCAATTCAATCCAATCCAATCCATCCACTTAAATATCCAATTAATCCAATCCAATTAATTAGATCCAAATCCAATTGAATTAGTGGATGAAGCCTAGAACCCTAATTTAACTCGCCAAAAATTTTCTCTCTCGTTGGTGCCCCCTCAGGCTTTCGTCTTTTATAGATTGGCCGAAGCTGGCACGTGTGCCAGGGGAACTGGCCCACTCGGCAATCCGATATTCACGTGTGACCTTTGTAGCATCTTTTCCTGTCGGTCGGTGAAAGAAAAGATCATCATTACATTTGTACATTTTTAGAACTATTCTATTTAAAACCAAATAACAACATACATATTTATAGAACTATTCTACAAACCCTTTGCCTCTCAAACAAGGTAAACTAATCCTAACCCAACAAGTAAACAGTAACTTACTGATCAACAAGACATAATTAACTAATAAGAATAATCATAATAACCTAACGATTAACTAATAATAGTCCCTAATTACTAAGCCCAACTCGGCCACGAGGCCCATCGGGTGCACCACACTTCCCAGTGAATGAGTGCTTATATTATACCTCCTCTATCGGTTTATTTGCAATCTTATGGTTATAACTCAAGTGAAAGTATAAGTGATTGTGGTTTGTTTGCCCTTTTCAAGCACACCTTAAAAATAATTATGAGATGTTTGCCCTTTTCAAATAGAGTATGGATGCACATGCATGCATGCATGCATGCATGCCTAGACCAATTAATTGTTCTCTTTCTCGATTCCTTCCGGCCTTCCTCTCGTTGCTGCCCCCTATTTAGGTAAGGTGTTCGTGTTGTCTGCTTCTGATTGGCCAAAGCGCGTTGGTGCAGTCACTCAGTACTGTGCAATCTGCTGAGATTGTCTTGTGACATTGCAGAATCTTTTCCCCACAGTTTGCTCGATCGGTCGGCCTGTCGAAGAAAAGAAGAGCATTTCTTACATTTTTTACTTCATGATTTATCTCTAGCCAAGTTTGGACCGTCGATGAACAATGATATATGCATTTTGGATTTTGCTGATTAATAAACGCCTGTAGATTGCAAGAAGCTGGTGACGTGTACGTATAAGATCATCTGCAGAGGTGTTTTTTCTTTCTGTTTTTTTTTTTGTCTTACGAATATGATCACGAATGTATTATAAATTGGTCACCCCCGCCCACTCCCTGACTCCCATATACATTCTCTCATACTCGCCCGTCGACAAACCATCGACAATGTTGAACGATGATTACCCAGCTGCCGGCGGGGGTCGTGATCACCGCAGCCGCATGATACGAGTTGAAATCGTATGAGTGAATGGATCCCTTTTCTTGACGGGATTGAACCAGTTCTCTCTTTTCTTGGCGAGAGGTTACCAGGGTTTCTTTGCTAAAATTCTCCTCCCCGTTATTCCATAAATTCTTAACTTAAATACATCATGTTTGCAAAGGAAAAACAACTAAACCCTATTCTTGTGGAACCACTTCCCACGTTCTACTAACAACTAACTACCATAATTATCTCTCTAACACAACTACTAATAATAATTAATCCAAGTAAGAAAATATAATAAATCTATATGCATCATTCCTTCTCCCTTCGAAAGAATCTTGTCCTCAAGGTTCGAGTTAATAAGCGAATTAATTCAACCCATACGCAACTCGGATCAATCGGAAAAGAAAGTTGTTGTGTGCTATACTTCCGATTGCGCTCGACCCCTTCCACACAGCTCCTATCACCGAGAGCTCCAGCTTCCCACGATAGGTCTTGGTTCACTTCAACGCTTCGGTCTTCCTTTACAGAGGGAACTAGGAGTCCTTGATCAAACCCAGGCTTCTTGTCACTATCTGTATGTGCCACTGGGTATATCAAACTACCACCCAAGCCATGAGTTCTAGCAGAAGCGAATTCACCAACAGCTCCTGAAGCTACCCAACTAAATTGCTCCCCACCCACATGCCGAATAATTGGCTTTAGTGAACGTTCACCTAATGAGAAACCTAAAGCCATTCCCTTTAACCCATCCAATTGATTTCTCTCGTTAACCAATTCCAACTTTACTCCATTCAAGTATCCTTTACCTTTTCCACTTGCTTTCCGATGCATGAAACAAGTCCACAACTTCCCTTTCATTCCTCTAGGCTCACATTGTCGAGGGCTGATTAGTTGGCCTCCAAGAGCTGGCGCCCCATCAACATTGCTCAGCAATGACCCCCTCACAATTGACAGATCCTCTCGTGCATATCCCACAGCTAGGGCCATGATTGCACTTGGCACACAACCAATCAATCCCTCATCAGCAACTGTACCTGTGGGCTTCTCCAGGTCAACTCCACACCACAAACAACCGGTCAATCCTCCCATGCTCGGGTCGATATGGTCGCGGCTTCCCGTCGAGCTGTGGCTTTGGGCGCCATCTTCCACCTGCTTCTTTCTATATTTCCAATTAACCAATGAATTGAGCGAGGTAAAGTGCTTACCGACGTCGTAACCTGTTCCTCCCAACCTTCCCTCAACTCCACTAATGATGAACGAGGACGTGGGCTCTGGACGATCAAGGAATACGAGGGATTGTTGTTGCCCCTCATAATGATGCTTTAGGGTGTGATGTGGTGGTACAGGAGTGGTAATAATCCCGCTCTCTCGGAAAACAACGACGTCCTCCAGAACTACATCGGGGGCATCAGCGACATATTCTTCCTTGACTTCCACCGACTCAGCTAAGGCTTGCGACGACGCTGGCGTGGTGGCTCTGTCACCAACAACAATGACAGTGGCAGGTGAGGGCGGCTTCTCCTTTATGGCGAGTCCAGGTGTGGCCACGGTTAACAACATCATGGGTTCTTCGATCACCAGATCAATCTCCTCGACGATAGATGAAGTTGTTGTGGGCGAGACCGACGACATCGAAGGTGCAGGTGGCGCAACATCGAAATCTTCTCCGCCTTTCTCTACCGACACAGAAACTTCAACCTGTGGCGGTGATGTGGTGACTCTATCGGAAGCCTTGATGGCTCTACGACAAGCTGCCATCGCTATATCCAAGGACATCATCATTCGATTGATGAGCTCATCTCTTGATGGTTTTTCTGAGTTCATCGTGATCGGAACCCGGATCAACGGCTCTGATACCAAATGATACGAGTTGAAATCGTATGAGTGAATGGATCCCTTTTCTTGGCGGGATTGAACCAGTTCTCTCTTTTCTTGGCGAGAGGTTACCAGGGTTTCTTTGCTAAAATTCTCCTCCCCGTTATTCCATAAATTCTTAACTTAAATACATCATGTTTGCAAAGGAAAAACAACTAAACCCTATTCTTGTGGAACCACTTCCCACGTTCTACTAACAACTAACTACCATAATTATCTCTCTAACACAACTACTAATAATAATTAATCCAAGTAAGAAAATATAATAAATCTATATGCATCACCGCACTTGGAAGTACGACGTGTTCCTCAGCTTTCGTGGGCCTGACGTCCGCCACACCTTCATCGCCCACCTTCACCGCGCCCTGATTAGGATGGGCATTGGGGTGTTCATAGACAACATCAACATCCCGAAAGGCCAATACATCGCGGAGGCCATCCCAAGGGCAATCGCGGAGTCCAGATTCTCCGTCGTCGTTTTGTCCAAGGGCTACGCGCCTACGCCTCTTCCACGTGGTGCTTGGACGAGCTGGCTCAGATAGTTGATCATCAGAGCGGTGATGACCGTGCCTTGCCGGTCTTTTACCATTTGTCCCCCTCCGGTGTCTCGGATCTCTCTTCCGGCTGCTACAAGCGCGACTTGGACCGCCACAAGGAAAAGTTCACGTACGTCAGGGTCAATCGCTGGCGACTTGCTCTCAAGTCCATCGCCGACATTGCCGGCTGGGTTCTTTCCGACCATCAGTACGTACTCGTACTACTCACTACAAAAAAATGAGGCTATGCCAAGGGTTTTGTTGCAAGGGTTTGATAAACCCCTGCTAATTTTTTAATCCTTACCATATACAACGGTTCTTTCAAAGGGTTATTAAACCCTTGTTATTGTTAAATTACTTTCCGATTCTAGACGAGTTTTCATATCCCGAACCCTAAAATTATTCTGAAAAATAAAAGGACAGATAATCCTCCACCCCTTCTCGCAGTTGTCATCCTCATCCTCTGTTCATCCACATCCCAAGTCGGCTGGCCGACACCACCGACGAACTTCCAAGTGCAACGATCCTCAAATCCTCTGCACCTGCGCACACTCCTTCCCTGCCATCATCTCCGCTGCCTCTGAAATCTCTAATCTCTTGCTCCGCGATCCATTCTCATTCCCAGCAGGCCCTGCGCAAAATCACTTCTCCTACTCGCAATCTCCTCGCAGTCATCGGAATCTCTGTCGCTTTGGTCATCTTCTTCAAGATTTCACTGAATTGGTTAGGGATCTGTAGTTATCCGGAGCTTCGAAGAATAGCGATTTAACTCGATGGAGCATCACGGGAAGCATTTGATCGAAAACATGGCAGGTGGTTCGAGATATAGCAAGATTGATCTCCATAACTCGATTTCTGCTACTTCATGGTAATATAAAAAGAACAGATTTCTCATTAACTTTAGTTTTGGAGAACATGAGATGATATTGTTGATTGTTCATTAAAGTTAATGCTGCAAAACCACTAATTAACTTAGGCAGTAGTAATACAAGCACTTCTAAGTTAAACCTGTCACAATACACGAATTATATGTTTGATGTATTTACATATCTCCTAATATATGTACTGATTATGCTTAATATAGTTGATTGCAAAGGAATACTTGGCTTGGCTAAACTAGTTATGGGTTGCTTATTAGCTATCGTACAGTATCTATGTGGACATTTTTTATACAGAACTTGATACCAATTTATAATTAGTTGAGATCATAGGTATCTTCCCAGAACTGAAAGCTTTTGTTGGAGTTCACTGATTATGGTTAGAAGTTCACTACTTTTTTGGTGTCCTTGTGTTAGACGGATAAGGCGTCTATGCTTGATGAAGTGATTGAACACTTGAAGCAGGTTCAACTGCAAGTCCAGGTTAGTTAAGTTGATTCCTTTTAATATTTGATGATCATGTGTAATCATTATTAGTTCCTATTCGATATGTTTTCCTTGCAGATATGGTTTGATGACATGCAAATTGCAATTGATCTAAATGGAAGGAGTTATTGGCAGCTCCTGCAGAGATTCCAGCAAAACCCATACACAGTATGGTACTCTACTATGCTGTTGATAGGTCACTGAACAAAGAATCCTTGTTGTGAAAGTTTATTGATTGGACAGATATATTTAGAGATTCAAGATTCAAATTATTAGCATTTTATCATGTATAAAAATATTATCTTGGATCATGAATCATGGGTTTGGCTACCCAGGAATGATATTTATAGAAAATTTTGCAAGAAAAAGCTTGGTTCTGGATTTATCTATAGTGACCAGAGTATTTACAACCAACTTATAGTCACCAATCTTCATGGGTTCTTAAGTGACTTTTAGGTTTTATCAGCCTCTCTTTAGCGACGATTCTCAGTTGGTTGCAATTGATTTAGCGACAAACTAAGCAAGGGTTTTAGCCCTTGCTAGTTAGAGCAACGAACTTAGCAGGGGGCTTAACCCCTGATACAAACATCTCACTATTGAATTTTATATTGAACTGTAACAAGGGTTTTAACCCTTGATACATGTAGCAGGGGTTTCAAACCCCTACTACAACCCTTGGACGGGACTTCCACCGTGGGTTGTTAAAAACCCTTGCTACACGTAGCAGGGGCAGCATTGGCGAGGGTTCATGCAGGGGTTGGCGAAACCCTTGCTACAACTTGTAGCAGGGGTTAAAACCCTTGCTATAGGTAGAAAAAACCCTTGCCATAGCCCATTTTTTTGTAGTGACTGCTGCATATATATATATATATATATATATGCCTATAACTAGCTAGTTAAACTCGAACCATAATTTATTTATTTAACTTTTTTTTACTGCTTTCTCTGAATCACTGCAGCATCTTTAATTTGATCTCTATTTCAATGTTTAATTACTGCTTATTTTATTAATCGATAATAATAACTAATGCAGATCTGAAGCTCAGTTGGTGGAGGACATTGCCAAATACTTGTGCTCCGAGATTCGAGCAAACGGCGGCCGGGACGCGGCCGGGACGATCTGCACCGCCGCCACTGGGAGGAGGAACTTTCGGTACGTACAGAAATTTGTTTTGTTTGTCAAAACTTACTCCATATATCTTTTATATTTATCATAAAATTTTGGCGATTTTGAGAGTGCGGATCTGGTGACTAAGGGGGGGTGCTTAGTCACTTGACTAAGTCCCTCCTAGCCATTAGATATGGACACTTCAATCCAATGGTTAAAAAGTGAGAAGGGCTATTTAATTAATAGCAGGGGTAGTTTGGGTATTATGAAAAATTACGAAGTATACAAACCGGATTTACAATCAGTACAAACCATACAAACATACGAACAGTACAAACTAGAGCGACAAAACATACAAACATTACAAACGTATGAACTGTACAAACAATACAAACCGTACAAACATACGAACAGTACAAACTAGAGCGACAAAACATACAAACATTACAAACGTATGAACTGTACAAACAATACAAACTAGACTGACAAACAATACAAACCATACAAAAAGAAAAAACACCCGGGTTGACTTTGGAGGCTCCATCCCTATATAGAGGGGCTCCTTCCCAAAGTCAACCCGGGTGTTTTTTAGACGTACAAACAGTACGAACATGGTGGACAAAAATGACAAACTAGACCGACAATCCATACGAATGGGAAAAAACACCCGGGTTGACTTTGGAGGCTCCATCCCTATATAGAGGAGGTCCATCCAAAAGTCAACCAGGTTGTTTTTTAGACATAAAAAACATTAAAAACATGGTTGACAAAAATAACAAAGTTTACAAACATGATGCACAAAAATAACAAAGTTTACAAACATTACAAAAAAACCCGACAAACATTACAAAATAACAAAGCATACAAACATTACAAAATACGTCAACAAACATCACAAAATTAGCACTGTCGCCGGGAAATTCTTCTCCGGCGACGATGTTCGCCGGAAAAAATTTTCCGACCAGAAAATCTCTCTCTCTATATCTCTCTCTCTCTCTCTGGACGATACATTGTCTTCCGCCCAAAATAAATGGACAGCAATCTCTCTCTCTCACCTTAAATGGACCGCCCAAAATAAATGGACAGCAACCGCAATAGCAAATGTCGCCGCCGGCTAGAAGAGACGCCGGAAAATAAATCAAGGTCGGCGATTTTTTTTTCCGACCGGGGGAACCGCGAATGCAGCAGCGGTTAAAATGATTTTTCTTTGTTTATTATTTAAATTAATAAATTAAATAATCATGCAATGACTACATTGCCCTTCATTAAATTGGATTAATATGGGCCATTGGATTTTAATGAGGTGCAAGGGTGGAGATTCACTTAGCCATGTGACTAAGGGGACCCCCCTTAGTCACCAGATCTTAGCCCCGATTTTGATCAGGAGCCATGGACGCCGCGGATAGCGGATGCAATAGTACTCATGTTAATCATGGCAACAAAAATGTGACTGAGTATGATGACATCAATGGATCTTCTGGATATGAGGAATCGAAAGGAATAAGAGGTTCTGAGGATGGCTGGCTTCCCGTTTCTTTTGTTATGCGTTTCGTGTGTTTTTTTTTTTTTTTGGCTTTCTGCTAAAAGAACGACTACGTTTTGGCTTGGTGGGATTCGTTGCTGGATTAAACTTTTTTAAGTCCACTAATCCCGAACCAATACGTGCCATTGTTGGCTTGTTGCTATAAAATTGTTTCTCCTTCCTCTTTAATCTTTATTCTAGTACACTTAGTGCGCTAAAAGTTAAAAAGCCCAATAAAATCGGGAGGTATGGATCAGAGTTGGAGGGAAGGAAGCTCTTAACTCTTGAGGCCAATTGATCAATTCCTTAGAATTATTCTTCAGCCCAAAAGATAAAGAAGTAGTAGCTTCTTCTTCCTTCTTTGAAACAGATTATCAAAGTGAACGAAGAACCCAATGGAAAGGTAAATGAGCACATGAAGAGAAATTGAAAGTGAGGAATGCACAAATTTAAAATTACTGATCCGTCCTCGTTTCAGCATCAGTATCCACCGATTCTAGAAAACTCCTTTTATTAATGATCACCTATCAAGAGAAATTGAAAGTGAGGAATGCAAAGAACAAGAACGATATAAAGAAACTCGGATCCCAATCCGTACCCCTTGTGAAACCAATATGCTGCAAACTGACACAATATTCAATTGATCAAAGGAAGATATAAATACAAGTTTTTGTCCACCCAAACTCGGCAACAAACTCCCAGCCACTATCCCTCATCTCCCACTTCTAACCGACTCATAAAAAACCCAGCAACTACAAATAACGCCAAAGGACTCAAACCACATACTAACCAACTTAAATGACTAAACAAAAATAAGCCTATACGACACAGTTTTGATTAAGAGACTGTAACTTCAGATTTATTCTTCTGACGCCAATGCTCCGTCACCCAGTTCCAACAAATCCTCCCCTAAACTAAAGCATATTCATGCTTCAGTTTACTTCAAGTCACCAGCAGCAACTACTTTGCAGCAGCATCAACTCATATGTTCTCCCCAAATAACCTCCAAATATTCACACTCTCCAAACCTTGTAATACTCCAGCTTCGCTGCTACTTCAACCACACACTTCCTTCCCAAATCCCAAGTGATCATTTCCTCCAAAAGACCCTTGTCCACCAGTTGCATTGTCCCACCACATTTACAGCCCCACTTTCCTTTATAGTCCTTCTCAACCTGATGCATTTTGCATCACATTGAGATGCTTTGATGTACAAACTTTGCTCCTCTCTTGTCCCCAACAAATCTT